TGCCCGCTCGACTATGACTCTGTCCCCCCGCCTCCTATAGTTGTTTCCGGGTTGCCGTCCTTCTTCTGGGTCGTGCTTGTCGAGCTGGTGGTTGAGGAGGAGGACGATAAGGCGGGGGCCTCCTCTTCTTTGCTCCGAGTTGTATTCTCGATAGTGGTGGCGGGGTTGCTTTAATTCTTGGGAGTCGCGGTGCGACTTGCCCCCGCCGCCTTTGTGTCTTCCGGGGAGCCTCCTCGGGCATCCCCTTATGTTTTTTGGTTTTCTTCCTCTTGTCCGCCTTCTGTGTCGGCGGGTCCCTCTCCCTGGTGGGGTCTATCTACGTAGAAGTGCGTATTCATTTTGGGGTCCCTCAGTTGTGCGTTCCTTCGTCGTCTGCTTATCTTCGCCTTCTAGGGAGTGGAGGACGTTCAGCTGGTGCATCAAGTGGTTCACGAGCGTCATGGAAATCCCCCTGGATCGCCGTCTACGCTCCTCGTCGAAGTGGCATGTTGCCCCCTCCCTACTGCTGGGCCACCCTCACCAAGATCAGGAAGGGACTGGGCACAAACCCTGAAGGGCCCTTGCCAGCCGAAAGGCTTGAGCCAAAATGGCCCGCGCTCGCTCTCGCTCTCTCTTCTTCAGCACAGCTAGAGGAAAGCGGCACTCCGCCCCCCCCCACGCGCGCGCGCGCGCGCACTGGTTCTTTGAGGTCTGTACGATTTTACGTGCTGAGATGAGGCCGTGGTCTGGACGCTCTGAACCCCCCTGTTTTAGAACCTAATTGTGGACCCCCGGCCTCTTCTCGTCGGCTGCTTGCTCTGTACGATGCCCAGCGGTGTGTTACTGCGTGGCATGTGGCAACTGTGTCCCCCAGAAGAACCTGCCTAACACTAGCCAAACTGAACTGGGAAGTGAGCTGTTGCCCGCTGCAAGCTTGCCTACACATGTGAAACTGCACTCTGAGGCCCGGTCACATGAACTCTCTACTGCTCTCGCAACACCAAAACAAACACACACACACACACACACACACACACACACACGATGTCCTATCATGTCACTTGGGCCCCCCCTGCTCTGCAGCTGACACTGTGTGGAGACATGCACGGAACTCACTCTCCCCAGCTCATGCACTATAGGATCCCCACCTAGACGGCTCCGTTACATGTCCCCATCATGTGCTGCATGCATTCGTCTACGCCTATGCTCTCGCTCACTTGGGCCCCCTTCAGTAGGACTTGTCCTCGGTGGGCTGGCTTCTCTTTGGGCTTCCGCTGCAAGCGCTTCTTCTTGCTCCCTTTCAAACTCTTCCATGGCTTGGATGAGGTCATCATCTGTCGGCTCCACTTCCACCGGCGGTTGCATGCCCCCACTGTCTTCGTCCCCTGAACTTGGGACGCTTCCCGGCCACTGCGGAGCTCCCAGTGGTGGTCTCCATGCTGTCCCCCCGTTGTCTTCGTTCGGCTTGAGCGCCCCTCCAAAGATAGCCTTCTGTGAGGAACCCCATGCTGCTTCGCACGTCTTCAAGTACTGCTTCAAGTCGTTCCAGTCTCCCCCCCGGTGTTGCTGGGGCCTCTTCTGCTCCCTCTTGTAGTGCCAGAACGTCCGCCGTGTGTGCAAACCCCGCCTGGTCCAGCTCGTCCAGGAGGAGCACCGCTTCTTCCAGTACTGTGGTAACAGCTTGCCCCCAGCCTGTGACCAGCCAGTCCAGGTTCCCATCGGTGGTGGCCGCCATCGCTGCGTAGACTGCATGGCATGCTTGTGAGAGGTTTCTGCTCCGCTGAGAATTTGCTGGCCCCCTTGCTGTTCTGAGGCTTGCCGGTACCGTTGTTCCCCACTGTGCAGGTAGTCCCGGATCGTCTTAAGGTCGGCGTAGATCTGGTGCTGGTTGGGTGGCTCTTGGCTGTCCCCCTCACACAAGTCGTCTATAGCCAGAACTGCGTCACGTAATGGGTTGTGCGGTCGCGGTCGTTTCGCGGTTTGCCATCGTCGGCTGCGCAGTGTGAGCCCCCCATTTGCCCCAGAAGAGGTCACCGCCGCCAGGGTCTGCTCCACTGCATCGCTCATGGCTTCGGGCAGCCCCAGCTGGTGCGTCAGTGCCGCTAGCTCCCTCAGCCATCTTCGCATCCTAGCTTGTTCCTGTGGCAGTGCGTCTGTGGCTCCCCTTTGGCAGCCAGCGTTCGAGCTGCCCGCCATGGCTCCATGGCTCGAGTCCTCTGGTCCTATACCTGGCTAGCATCTAGCTGCGTAGTGGCCGTCTGTCGTTGCATGAGTGCTGCTCTCCCTTCTGCTGGTTCTGGCCCCTGTGGAGTCGGCGCTGGCCCTGGACTCTGCGGCTGCGGCGCTGGGCGTGGTGTGGGCGCCCCCATGTCTCCCCCTGTTGCTGGCCCCCCCCCTATGCGCGAAGTCGGGCGGGGGATAAGGTTCAGTGCTAGTTGCTCCCATTGGCCAATGGGGGTGGGTCTGTGTCCATGGAGGTGGCCGGTATCGGGTTGGTCCCCATCTGTCTGCTCCAGTCGTAGTAGTATTGGACCCCGACTTTGCGAGGAAGTCTCCCAGGGTGCCATCTGCCTGTCCCGGGATTCCACTCCAGAAGGTACATGTCCCCCGCCTGTAGTGGCGCTGCATCTTCGTCGACTTGTCTCCCCAGCGCTGTTATGATCATCAGCCACTTTTCCGGCGCGCCCCACGGCAGCAGAGCGAACGCGGGGTTGTAGCCGATGTAGGCTAAGGGCGGTTCCCCCGTTTCCCGCAGCTGTTGTCTTGCTCGGGTGTAGGCTCGGACTCGCTGTTGGTACATTGGGTGGTGGTGGGCCCCCTCTGGCATGGTCACTGCCGCCCGGGCCCGCTCTCATGTGGAGGCTATGGGAGTCTCCGGCGGGGCGGTGAGGGGCTTTGGGCCTGTGCCCATGCTGAGCAGCAGCGTGTTGATGGTGCCCTCCATGTTGGTGTGGCCCGTGTCTTCTGGTGCTGCTGCCGCTGTCGTGGTTGCACCCCCGTCTGCTCTCCTCCTGGTGCCCCCGCTGCGGTCTGCCTAGATGGTCCCCCGCTGCTGCTGCCCTGGTTACGGTGTGTATCCTGTGTGGTCTGTGCAGCTGCCGAGTCTGCGCGGGACGGTGTGTCGGTGTAGTCACGCGGTAGGAGATGTTTGTTGAGCAGGCCTGCCCACTCTTCGGAACTGATGGTTGTTGGCTGTGGCTGTTGTCTTGCTTGTGCCTGTCCCCCCGCTCCTCTGGATCTTGGTCTTCTCCCCCTTCTCAGCACTCTGGCCCATTCCTCCTCGTCGTCATCCTCGTGGAGGCCCACCGCTGGTCCCAGGTCCCTCCACTGCTCGTCGTCTGCCTTCTGCCACCCCCGCTGCCGGTATGCCATCTGCACTGCTGCCTTGTACCGTTTCCCCCTCATACGCTGATCGCCTCCACCCTCATGGTATGGTTTCCTGCATCCTGTCTCCCCCTGCGCCTCCTGCTCCTCCAGCGGTGGGGCTTCCCCCGGCTGCTGCTGTTGGTATTGTGCCGTGCTGGAGCTGCTGGCCGGGTGCTCTGCCGAATGTGGTTGCGGATGCGTGGTGATGTGGAGCGTGGGTACTTCCCCTGCTCGTCCGTGGCGTGCTGTGCCGTGGGGCGGCTGTGGCGGCGGTTGCTGTTGGGTGTCTCGGCCTTGAGACTGGGGCTGGGTTGGCAACCCTTCTTGAGCTTGCGGTCCCCCCAATTGGTAAGTTCGCTGTAGAGTGCGTCCCCACCTGTTGCGGTTGGCGGGTATGGCCGGGGTGGTGGTGTGCTCCTCTGCTGTAGTGGGCCACTGTGGCTCTGTGTGTCCCTGCTCGTCTGCAGCTCCTGCTGCCGCTGCCGCATGCTGTGTTGTTGCCTCCCCGCATGGGACGGTGTATGCTGTACTGCTGCTGCTATGTGCCATCTGCGTGGGTGGTTGGTCCCCCTTACGGAAGACTCCCCCCACTGTGTGTTGGCTTGGCACCATGGGCTCAGGTTGTGCCATGGCGGCTCTCGAAGGAGGGTAGTAGGTGAGGGTATATCCCCAGCGGTTCGTGCCTGGCGGCACCACGGATGTATGCTGCTGGGACTGCTGCGTGGGGTCCTCCATTGCCGTGTCCCCCGCTGGGTTGGGCAGCTGGGCACTGGAGCTTGCGTCCTGTTGCCCCTCTGGATGCCATGGGTCCGTGTCGGGATCGTAAACTGGGGCATAGTAGCCAAAGGTATCTTTGGGCCTTCGGGGCAGTGTCGCTGCTGGTCTCCATCTGCCCCCCGCTGTTGCATGTGGTTGTGCCCGCCCCCTGTGTGGAGCGGTGTGTCCTCCTGGTGTGGTTGTAGGGTCTGGTGCCACTGGTTTGCTGTCGCGTCAGTGGCGTAGGGCTGCTGCTGCGGTGCCGTCTGTGGTTGTGTCTGGCAAGGCTGGTGTGGCAGTGCCTCTGCCCCTCCGTAGTGCTGCGGTGTCGCTCCGGTCGTTGCTTGGCACTCCTGACTGTGCGGCTGCTGGTCTAGCCCCTGTTGGGGAAGCTGTTGTTGGCCCCCGTGTGGCTGCTGTTGCACTGGCATCGTCGTTGTTGCAGGCTGCCAGGCATGCTGCGGCAATGCCCCCGCTCCTGCTTGGGCTGTTTGTTCTTGCGTCGGCGTCGTTGTGTGCCAGTCGACTTCCTGCGGCTGCCCCCCTGTCGCTGCTGCAGCAGGAGGGAGAGGGCCTGCTCCTGTGCGCGGTCGCCCGGATGGCGTGGTAGGTCTCGGTGGGGTAGCCCCCCTGGTCTTACTCACAGACGCTGCCGTGTGCCAGGCGAGGGCCAGTCCTATTGCTGCTGCCGCGAACCCCCTATGCATTATGTGACAGGGCTGTCCTGGCTGGGCTGTACGTGGCACTGCTTGAGCACTCACCTCTGCGCGTGACGCATGCAGCTGGTGGGTCTGCGGTGCCCCTGACTGCAGTACTGCAAACATGACAAACCAAACCGGCATGTCTCTCCCCTCTCTCCCTCCTGTCTTGGGTGGGTGGGGCTGCGGGCCGCATAGCTGTCAGCGCAAGGCTTCATTCGCCCTGCTTGCCCCCCTGCCCCTCCTCCTTCTGTTGGGCGCGAGGTTGCCTATGCTCCCCTGTTTGCCGCTGGCCCACGGCGGATCGTATTGCCGGATGAAGGCCCCCTGCAGGTGGTTCCAAACTGGCGGGCTTTGGGCCTTGTCCATCCAGTCGGCCGTGGCTATGTGTGCCAATTGCCGTTCTGTGTCCACCAGGGAGTTGTACCTGTGAGCGTGCTGCTCCCTGGTGCGCTTGGGCTTCTCCTGCTCTGCAAACCACCACTTCAGGTTTTTCCACTCGCTGTCCCCCCATGCTTGGAGCGCGCCATGTGTCCATAGAGGTCCCACGTGTGGCCAAGCTGAAGGTGCTCCATGTAAGGACTCCGGATTGCTGCAGCGCCACCCTTGCCCCCCGGAGCGTTCTGACGTTCCATTCCCCCCACTGCTCTCCGGGCCTGCGCCCCGGGTGCATCATGCGTCGTATCTGCTGGAGCTGTGTGGAGTTGATGGCCTTGAGGATGGTTTCTGTGATGGGCCATGACTGTCCCCCCCAAAGAGCGGCCCCTCTCACCAGTGTTTGATGTAGTTTGATTCGGGCTTTGAGTGGTGTCGGGGCGCAAAGGAGCTTGCAGTTTTTCTGGAACGCCCGTCTGGCACGGTGGTTCATGGACGTCACTATCGCAGCCACCCCCTCCCCAAACGTGATGGGCGACCCCAATGCAGTAATGACCGTGCCAAAGGGCAAGCAGCCAACTTGGTCCCCCCCTATCTGAAAGGTCCCCCCCCCTGTCTTCTCGCTGTATGATCGCAGTCTTGGCGGGGTTGATGACCAAGCCGTGCGCCCCCAGCCGCTTCTCCAAAGCCGAGAGCGCGTACTGCAAATGCTCCCTGTCGTCAGACCACAGGTATGTATCGTCCATGAATGCTCCCCCTGATTGGGGCGGGGGGGGTCCTCTGGCCGGCCCCAAGAGAGGTTGTGCTTGCCTTAGTGCCCCCTCCAAGTCGTCTGCCACGATCCTGCTGAATAGCACGGGGCTATCAGGCGAGCCTTGCCGTACTCCGTTTGTCTGCGGTACCGGCGCGATCGTGTCCCCCACTGCTATGTTGAGTTCACGGGCTTCCAGCAGGCCTAGCCATGCGCGGGCTTCCCATGGCTGCCCCCCGTTGGTCCCCCCTCCTCCTTGCCGCAGCCCGCCCACCCGTCCCGCCACCATGTCCCCCATGGACTCCTGCCAGACGCTGTCCAACGCCTTACGAACGTCGAGCTTTACGATCCATGTTGGCGTCCCCCAATATCCTTGGCCATCCTCACCACTCGGCGCAGCACAACCAGGAGCTCTGGTGCTTGTTTGCCTTTGCTCGCCCATTGGTACGGGGCCCCCCGCTGTATCTTGTCCCCGCAGCGTCCCAGAAGAAGCTGAGCGAACCATTTGAGAACTGCTGAACTAAGCGTAATCGGGCGGGTTTCGCCCCATTCTTTGGGCTCCTTTTGGATGGCCTCTGGGATGGTCCCCCTATATAGCAGATCATTCATCATATGTAATATCCTGAAGCTCCACGTTGGCTCTTGCAGGAGGAGCAGGAGGACCTCGTGGGAAATGGCATCTGGGCCTGTCGCCTTCCCCCTTTTCCACTTGATGGTGGCGAGTCTGAGCTCCGTGTCCGTGAATGGCTGCCACTTTGTATGTTTGCACAGGAGCGTCAATGCTCGTCGGGTGTCCCCCAGCCGCTTGGTTGTGCGCTCCTGCGGGGCCTTTGCAAAGATGGCCCCAAAGTGCTTGGCAAGTTTGCGCTGCACCCGTGCCGTCGCTGCTGGACCCCCAGTGTTCTGTAGGCGCACCAGTCCACCTGGCTGGCTCGTTTCACCAGATGGTCGTGCCACGCCCGCAGCTCCTGTTGACGCAACCTGGCGACCCCCTTCCATGCTTGCCTGGCCTCATGTGGGGGGACGGCGTGTGCCCTCTGCCGTGCTTGCTTAAGCGCTGTGCTTTCGCGGAACTTGCTAGCGTACCTCCCCGTCTGCGTGATGCGGCGTGCTATGTCTGCAATTGCAGTGTGGATGTCCGTCTGCTTCAGCGGCTCCTTTGCCGTGAGTGTGGGCTTGCTGCTTTCTGTGTACTTGCGTGCTCCCCACGTGGGCTTGAACTGCGCCTGGACCGGCCGAATGCTGACGTCTTGCCACACTGCGTCGTGGTCTGATCTTGCTATGTGTCTGCTCCCTTTCGCCACCCCCCCTGCCTTGACGTGGACCCCCCTGCTGATGATGTAGTCTATCCTTCGTGACTGGAGCTGTGTGTTGTACGGGTGGAAGGATGGAGTGTCAAGGTCCTGCTCCCCCGCCACCCCCCCTCTCTCTCTCTCTCTCTCTCTCTCTCTTTCTTTCGCCAGGGCTAGGGACAAGAGGGGCAAGCCCCCCTCTCTCTCTCTCTTTGCTTTGCTCTCTCTCTCTCTCTCTCTCTCTCTTTCTTTCGCCAGGGTTGTGGTGCGGGGGTTTCCTCTCTCTCTTTCTCACCTACTCCTTACCTACCAGACCGATAATTAGGAGATATCTATCTACGGCATATTTATGTACATATGTATGTTGAATTTTCATATAATATGATGTGAAGCTCATATATCGATTTCACAAGTAACTACAATATCAAAACATAATTGCGACTCGTCTTCGATGGCTCGACCGTGGCCGACTTTACACACTTTACACATGACTACAAATCTTGAATTCCAACCCTGGAGCATGGACCCTCGATCTGCCCTGTGTTGGCTCCGGGATTGTCTGCTTCTTGCTGCCGACCACCCAACACCACCCAAAGCACTGCTTTGAGACTCTTGAAGATGCTAGCAAGCTTTGGACCGAAAATTTCAAGAAGTGCGATGCAAAGAGACAACTGGAGCAGATGGCGGACCAGTCTTTTTCACTTCTTAGTCAAGAAGTCGTCGTCCGAATCGTCGCCAAATAAGGATGCCCTGGAACGATTGCTCGAGCAGTACCAGCAAGCTTTGGCACACAGCAAAGGGAATGAGCACACATGCAACAACGCATATCTTTTCTGGGCTCCTGATTACGGCATCTGGCAGCTGCCAGCAGCTGTGAAACATGCGCACACACACACAGCTATATCAACACTGTGAGCACTGACACTCACGCCAACATCCCCCACACCGCGGACGAATTAGCAAGTGCTTGGACACGACAGGGAATGTCCGCAAATGCGAAGACATATCAGGCGGTGGAGCCTGCTGAGAGTTGTGTTACCTCCGGCTTGATCTGAAGAGCTTGTTCCTCTTGACAGCGAGAGCACTGGCAAACAAAGCCCCAATTGTCCAGCAGATGCCTCTGGCGCTGATGGAATGGCTGCTCGGTAAAGCCCGTTTCCCATCCTCCGTAGCTCAGGAAGATCTCTTCCTGCGCGGGTGAGAAGCTATCGGAATACTGGCTGGCAGCAGGTAGCTGCTGTTTTGTTCGATGGACAGACGCCAACAGGTTGAAGTCAGTGGGACTGCACATGACACGAAAACACAAGGACCATATTCACCTATCAGCACAAGCAACTCCCGAAAAATGTTCTGCAGTAGCGAGACATCTAGCACATCGTGGAACCAGACAGCTGAACTCTGTGTTTGCATGCTACTGGGTAGCACTAAACAGCGTGATGAATCCAGGCCATACTGTTCTCTGTATACTTGCTTCAGTGAATGGCCAAAGCGGTTCGAGCCGTGCAACTGGTAGAACCATGACAAGTTCCCGTCCTGAGACTCGACATGCGCTGTTGTCATGAGCATCGCGGGATGGCCATCACCGACCATCCGGGCATTTGGGAGGCACGAATGGTTAGCACGCGACATAACCTCGAAAAGGGCAGTAGTGCTGCCCTTTCGACCTGCCAAAGGAACATGTTGACTGTGCGTCTCCACATGATGTTGGGATGCTGCAAGACGTTCGAAGCAGCCGCTTAGGTGCCTTTGAAGCGAAAGCAGTTCGACATGAGGATCATCTAAGCCAACGAAGGTGCTCCATCTCACCCGCGAGGGAATTCCGTGGCTGTGCTGGGCTACGCGCAAGGAATCGGGAAGCGCTTTGCTGCTGTGCGAAAGGCACCTCCACTCAGCACAGCACAGCTGGAATCCAGCTTGCTTCCGTTCCTGCCGTGGCATGCAGCCACAGCCTCAGCCTTCACTGCTTGGCAAACATGTCGGGCTTTGCTTCCTGCTGCTGCGCCCTCAGAAAAGTTGTGCGCGAAGATTTTCTGTATGCTGTCCTGCCGACTGCCAAGCTGGGTGAGGCGACAAAAAAAGGCTTCAAGATAAAGCGGCTGCGGCTGCTAAGTCACCTTTGCCTGCTCTGCCTGTCAATGCCTGGACTTCACTCCGATCTGCCCCGGCTCCTGACCCAGGCTTTTGCAGGCAACGCGCCATGCCGCCACATAGCGGGAACATGTTAGCTCAAGAATCTCTTCATCTGGCCTTGCAAACTGGATCAACCCGCTTTAGCGCGGCAGGACCGCTTCAGACACCAGAGCTGCAGCCTCCCAGGTTCCCACTGTTTGCCAAGTCCCTCACATTTCGAGAAGTGGCGTCTCCTCCAGGATTGCCTGATGCGAGCTGTGACTGTAAGTAGCAGAAGAAGATTTGATCTCACCTCGAAATATGCAACGACTTAGCCTGAGCTTCGTTTTGGTTTCTCTTCGCTGTTTGAGAGGCACACTCTTTCCGAAACGACATACAGCCGGATCCGGCAATGTGCGAAAGCCTTGTGCCAATTTTGTCAGTCGCGTCTGAGTTACCACAACCTTTGGATGCTCCCTTTGGTTTGGCACAAATTTTCCTATGGAATCTTTCAGTTGGGAAAAAAGCACGGCGCAGCTCGTCCGCTCCGGCTGTCAGACTCGTCTTGAACACTTCTTGTCAGGGCAAGGGCAGCCAAAAGGGCGGCTGACACGTTACCAGACGAAGCCACTGCATGCTTGAATGCACCGTGTGAGACATTGCAAACAATTTCCAGCAAGCATAACCGCAGATGCAACGCCTGCTCGCACTTTTTATGGTCGAAGCAATTCTTGTGGGTTTTGGACCCCATGCCAAACACAACGAGCAATACTTGGCGAGGTGTGATAGTACCTATGTCACATCACAAGGCACGCAGAGCAAAAGCTAAAACATGTAGTTCCCTGCTCCAACGAAGACGCCTTACCGTCACGTTCGATGGCAGCTCGTTTTCAGTATTGTGAAAGCTTGACGGAAGCACACAGATTGCAATGAAATGCTTCTGGTGTTGGTAGGTGAAGGTTCTGCATGCCGGTCAGGAGTTGCCCCGGTTGACATGGAATACCGTGCCGTACTAGTAACACAGTAACCGACACACCTTCGTTCGACCGAGCCTCGTCTGCCTGCAGATGGCGCAGCGCCACCAGGCGATGCTGGCCATCTGGGCATCGCTCTACTGCGACAGCGGCCATTGGGCTCTATATAGAGCCATCTATGTCGCACATCTTCACCGGACATAAAGGGTGACTCCAAAACGTTGGCTGCTTCCTCTAGCTTTTGTATACCTTTCATCCTCTCAGGTAAGATCTTGGAGGCTGTGGTTGTAGTGTCCAGCACATGATAGCACGCCTGTGAGACTCAGCGACTCAAGCCTTTAACCCAACGGCTGAGGTATGAAGTGGTCCATGTTCACGCAAATCGATGGCACCGCTGGGAAAGAACCTGGACTGCAACAGCTGCAGCGCTACATGCATGGGAGGAGCGAAGCGCGTCCGGTATGCAGTTTTTTGGTGCAAGAAGCTTACTTCGTAGTCAACCTATTCTGGAGGTGTTCCTGCACCCGTTTATGTACATGCCAATTCGATCTGCAACACGTCTGTATGTGTCATGCAGCACATGCTACACCCGGATCTTTGCGAGTCTTGCAAGTTTCAGTCATGGCACGACATACCTATGTACAGATTAGCACAGGAGCGTGTTGAGACGCACACATCCAAATAAGTCCCGTGTCCATCACGCATCTGTCCTTTGCTTCGAGCAGCGAAAAAGACGGAAGGCCAGGCATGAGGAAGGTCTTAGTTTCCGGCCGGTAGTACTCATCCTGAATTTCGAGAGCACTCCCCGATTGGCTCGCCTGCAGGCTTGCCGGAGCATCCATCGCAGCCACTGTCGATACATCCTCGGCAAGCTGGAACAACGGACATTGGGCTATTTGCGGAACTATCCTTTCCCGAACAACTCAGATGAGATTGCATGTTGATTCTACGTGACAGCCGTTCCTTCCGATGACAAGTTTGCTTCGCGTAGACTTGATTTGCGCAGCGGAAAAAACATGAAAACAGCACCAAACAGTGCCTACGTGGACTAAGGCGAATTGGTTGCACAACTTCTGCACTGGCCTCCATTGGAGTCTCCACGGAGGGATCGCAAAGTTCTCGTGGACAGGTTTTGAACACAAAGCAAACCTGAGCAGAGTCCTAATGTCTCTCCTCGTGCTAACCTCTCTAGCGGTGTGGCGTGCAAAGCAGAGATCGCTGCGATCTGTGCCCAGGGGCGCTTGCAAGTCCACAACAGGCCACCGCTGCGAGATAGACACAGGCCCATCTGTAAGAAGCTAGGTCCTGACAGAACGATAACGACAATCCTAGCCGACCAGCAAATGGGACAGGAGTCCTTGATAATGCCTATCGTGAGGTTCGAGACAATCATGCTCGTCCCAGAACCCGCTTGATTCATGCCCACTGCCAAGCTTTCCATCTTCTTCTGAAGATCAGCAGGGGCGACGGCAGCAATGATCAGAGGGAGAGTACTGTATGAAGCACATACAGATACCTAAGCTGCGAAAATTTCGAGGCCTACGCCGTGGTAGCGCTTACAGCTATCCTTGACAAGTTATGAGTTCCGAGGCACTGCATATCCAAGTCCCACAAGCAGAATGCCAAGAACGACCCATCTCAGCACAGCGATCACCAAGAATGCAATCACAAGGAGCAGCATGCCGGTTCCTTAGATCCATACTCCGGCCGAAATGCCTTTACCTGACTCTGCTCATGTCCCAAGAGCAACCGCCGCAGCCTTGTGCTGAAAGTACCCGCAATCTGTGTCGTAACGGAGCATGCGCGATGATGACAGCGTTTTGCCGATGCGGAGAACCGAAAGAGTTGCAATCCGATTGCCGATGGCTGGAGTACGCACACCCCGGCAGAAATTTTCTGCAAGCAGAAGATGCTGTCAGTTGCAACCGAAGAGCCAAAAGCCACCAGCTTGTGTGACAAACTGGATCCGAGAAAAGGTGCGAAAGCAGGGCTGCAGATTGAAATCATAGGAGCCAAGGCAATGATGAAGCCGGCGTTGTCGGCCGAGTATCCGAATTCCTTTTGGAGCATGTCGTCGCCAATCACTTCAAAGGGAAAGACGACACCCCAAATAGCTGCAATACCTGACAAGAATACCAAGACCTCAGCCGCTGCAGTCATGGAGTTCGAGAGATTGCTCTGCTCCGGTGTCAAGGCAAGTTTTGCGCGAGCACATGCTGCTTTGAGTTGAAAACCCTCGGCTTGGCTTGGGCAGTGGCTAGCTTGGGGACCTTTCGAAGCAAAGCCAGCTCTATGCGAGATGGTGGCTGTCGCCGCTCCAGCATTGGACGAACAGCCCGAGCAGTGGCCGTCCACTGAAACAAATAACCAAACAACAGAGTCGAAAGGAATGCAGCCACAACCAGCATCACCTCAAACAGCTCAGACATGTTTTCAATCGCTGTCGAGCCTCGTGGCTGAACCATGTTCAACTAAGCTTGACTATCTACATACGCTCGTTCCACGACTGAAGTCGCGACCAAGCTGCGGAGAACCACAACGAATCTAACACACCAAGGCTGTGGAGAAGTGGGCCAGACATCGGATAGGACATGCTGCCTGGGTGCTGCGCGTCAGGACAACAACACTTCAAGTTCTACCAGGAGTCTGCATTCTGCCCAAAGGCCAGCTTCTCATAAGTGCTCTACCATGCAATTCAATCTCACAGCATAGTCACTCATAGCATGAAGCCTGAGGATTAGATAGGATTAGCACCTCGCCTCCCAAACGGATTGAGAGCACGATGGTGGTCATGGCACAATTCAAGCTTCTTCCTGTCCAGATCACGTCATCTTCTACCCGGATACTGTGCTGACTTGAGCTGAAAGCATCTCAAAGCTGCCCGCGTGACCTCCCTACAACGGTACACTTCTTGACCGTCTGGGTACTTGCATGACAAGCTCAGCTTGGCAAACCGGCAAGATTGTTAGTAATGGTGGCTTGAAGAGCCGCTCTTGAACAAAAGACATAAAAGACTGCTTTGCTGCCGGTCCTTTGAAGAGATCGTATGTCAAAATGGTCTGCACCATGAGCAGAACCTGCTGTCTCAAAGTCCGCACAATCAGGCTTTAGAAATGGTGCCACTTGGACCACTGGAGCAAGAAATCGAATGACGTGGTAGTGAGAAGCTTCATGTGCCAAGGTGCATTCAGGCCGAACCAGAACAGGAGCCTTCCGAAGAGCATCAGCACCAAGCTTTTCCACAGGTATCCCATGGTGGTGACGCTGGAACCTGTCGCAGGTCACCACTGAGTCATGACTAGTATCACTTCTTCCAAGTCTTTCTCCGACAGATTAACCGGGTCCATTTAGGCTTGTTTGGGCTTCAGGCTGAGCTGGACGTGTGGAGGCCAACGATACTTGCATGACTACCATGCAAGACCCGGCGTCAGGCATGCCCACTTCACGCTGAGGCAACGCTTTGAGGCTAAGTGACTGGGCATCTGTCGCACTCTTCCGGGCATGTTCAGCCCGAGATGTGTCTCGCATTCTTGCCACTGCATTGTGCAAAGTACTACCGTCAGTCACGCTCCAATTCGCTTTGGTCGAGGGATTGTGGCATGCATATTGCCGGCAAGCATCTTTTCTACAATCCCAAGGTGGTGCCGCAAATAGTAATGCTGTGCAGCTTTGTTCTAATGGCTGTGCGAATCAAGGAGGGCGAGACTAGGCAGGAAGCGATGGGCAGGGGTAGGCGCATACTCCGCTCTGCGAGAAACGCGTACGGGCAAGTTTCATACGTAAGAGCTGAATATAGCGCAGACTGAACAGTATCTCGCACGCGTATGGCAAATTCAGCACCACCACCCTTCTTGCAGCTTGCGGTCAAGAAGGCGGGGCCAAGAGGAGGAATAGCAGCCAAATGGGACTTAGAGAGTCCTATCATGTCCTATCGGATTGAGGCCTTAAACAGAAGTGGAGAACGAAATGCTGCGCGGCACACCGATGAAGACTACCTTCTTGCAAACTGTGCTACATCAACACCCCTGGCAAATGTTGTCTGCTAAGCGTCTTCTTCGTTCTGCACATGCACTGTGCTTAGAGGCTGTCTGGCCGTATATGGCCAAGCTTGACATCCCTGGTCTCTGCTCCATGTCCCCGCCAATCGCGCCTATCGCAGCCAGAAAGCTCGCTGCTATGGCACTGCTCGTGCGCCCCACGCGAGAAATCAACAAGCCTGGGGATGTGGCGCCGTCTAAGTCTGATATGTCAAATTGTTGTGTGTTTGGTCACGGTAATCCGGCCAAGCCACTGCCTGGAGAACAAAGCACCCCTGCAGCCGTAGGGGTGGGACTAGCCATGCTTTGTGCACGTTGGGGCATCGCTCAGGAGCTTCCAGGAGTTAAGTTATCAACAGCATGGCATTCGATGCCTGTCAGCGAGCTAACGACGAAGAGCGAAGCAAACTGGGAGTTGCTCAGATCCATCGTATCCTCAGTGATGATATGCAGAGTTATGCACGTGTGCCATGCGGTCAGCCACGTGGTTGGGAGAACAACGTACTGGCAATCCATCCCAGCTGCAGAGATTGGACCCTTGAAGCTCTGCACAAGGCCATCCTCAGTGGTCATCACTGGTGAAAGTGCTGGCGAACATGGCAAATGAAATGCTTCAACAATCATCACTATGCCATTGCTTGACAGGCATCGTGGAAGTATGGACCAGGAATGAAAAGGCAGATGAGCGAGAGCAGGATATACTTGTGCAAGCCTTTTAAGAGCCGCTTTGTGAGGCAATTCTATCCGCACTGCTGATGCCATGAAACCCGATACACTCACAAAACATATGTGCAAACTTGAACAGGACACAAAGACGGTTGAAAGCCTCGTCGGGGATCGACAAAGCACTTGGCGACTCGTCTTCCACAGCAGGCGCTGCAAAGCAGGAGGAGCGTGAGAACGAGCAGCCTGGAAGTCGAACGCCCGGAAAGCACTTGACTTTTGGCTCGCATACTTGCCGAGCGGCACTGCGAGGGCCCAGCCACTCATGCTCCCTTGCTGCAGCATGTTGCGAGGCGCTCACGGTCAGGAGCATAGTCAGCCGGCTCTTTTCTGGATGTTTTGCAGGCAGGCTCTCTTGTTTCAATGCAGCCGAAGGGTTGACTGTCTGCCAAGCCAAACGATGAAAGTGTGTTGAGTCCAGTGTTGAGTCCTGTGCACGCTGATCGGGCCGAAAAAAACGGCTGGGGTGGCAATGCAATGCACGGACGCGGCGAACCGCGCTCGAAACGGCCAGCAGCAGGAAGCTGAGCCCAGCTGAGCCTTGTCTTGCTCGGTGACGACGCCTTCTTTGGCTTGGCCAGGAAGACCTGACTACACTGGGAGGATGGCCGTGTGGGACTCTCGAGGAAGAACATGAAAGAAGTCTGAACCAGATCCTGGCAGCTGAACTATTTTTGACATAAACAGTTCTTCCGAAACGCACTAGCCTCGTCGTCGTCATCATCGAAAAGGGACGTGGTGGAGCCGCGGGCTGTTTTTGACGAGCCGAAGAGGCTGTCCTGCAACGCTGCACAATACCACGAAACAGATGCACTTCACTTCACTATCACGAAGGGCCGCGAAGGCTCTTGAAGGAGCGGCAGGCTTTCCCGATGACACCGTATGTTGCGTCTTCTGTTAGCGACAGCCACGAGCGACCCTTGGCTCTGCATGGCCTTGAGTATTGCAGACGAAAGGTGTATCGGAGGTGGCCGCGGACACGCTTCATCACTCTGAGAGCAGTTTGCATATTGCTAGTCAACTGAAATATCTAGAATCTAGAAGCTGCACCTTGATTATGCGCAGACCGTTTGGGAAGCGCGTTGCTGGCTCTGGCCCAGTCCTTTCCATGAAGCCCGATTCTGCACGGTAGGTTTGTCGGGTGGTTGGCTTTGGATGTAATTTTCTGAAACGTCGGCTCTCGTCTCACTCCACCTACTCCACCTAGGCACGGTGCAGATGTTCAGTTCTGCGTCTCAGTCTTGTGCAAAATTCGTGCTGCTGAATCACAAATCGGGTCTCTTGCAGTCATATCACCCAAATTACAAGGGCCCGGGAGGATTGCCACGCAAAGTAGGTGGGAGCTATACATGCCCGCTGGCTCACCGACCACTGTTCCACAGTTCGCCTCCTGAAGTTCATGAATATCTGGCGGCGGTATGGCGATCAGGATCGTAAGGCGCGGAACCCGTGACGTCTGCTGTTGCGGCAATCTTGTGACGGGGTGGGTTGAGCGCTCATCGGACATGTTTGGTGGGATCCGACACGGCAACCGCTGGCCTCTGCCTTGTCCGGGACAGTCTTTCTGCTTGCTGTGGCTTGGGAGCTCCTGTGGATGTTCGACATATGTGCAATTAAGGACTGACACAGGCATGGCTCATGTCTTCTCGCCTCTTTTGCTCCTGGTCTCTTGAGGGCCAATCCTCCTGCTGTGGCTGTGGTGGATGCGGCTCATCTGCTGACTGCTCGATGTGCCGAAGCTCGTCTTCTCCCTGCGAACCAGCTGCACCCTCTACACCTGGCAGTGCTGCTGGCGGTTCCTCGTGTGCGCTTGATTCCAGTTGAGTCGGCCTTCCATCTTGCTCTGCAGTTTGCTCGTCCATACCTGATCTACCCGAAGGAGGCTCAGTCGCCTCCAGCTTCGTGGGGCCCAGGCCGCTGGCCTCTGGCTGCTCTGGCAGCTCTGGCTCTGGTGTGCCTTGCTGGACTGTGCATGGCTGGTTGGCTTCGGCAGTCGGAACTTCCGGTGCCTGACAGCTTGGTGTTTGTGGGCGAAACCGACTGACTCAAGGCTTCTCTTGGGAGCTTGCCGTCTGGTGGACGTCGGACCTCAGATCGCTAGAGGCCCACTCGAGGACCTGCTGGATGTTGTTGTTCCGACGTACTAGGTACAGGATGCATCAGAACATTCATGCATGAACATACTGCGATAAGACTCTGTGCACCAAGGTCTCGGCGCATCTGACACTTGCCGGCTGATCAGCAGAGGAGTGTCGTTTTCGGCAAGAGACGTTACAAGGTGCACCTCCAGAAGGCTTGTCAACAACTCTTCTGCCCAAAGCTACACTTGCGTAACTGCAAGGTTATAGTAGGTACAAGTAGTTGCTTTGTGCTTCGCGTTTGATGCCTTTTTCTAGCCGCCGTTGCTGCCGCTGTTTCTGGTGTTGTTGCTGTTGCAGTTGTGGTACGACGGGGGCGGCGGCGGTGGTGCTGGTGCTGGTGCTGTTGCGCTGGTGTTGTTGATGTTGTTGTTGTTGTGGTTGATGTGGCTCCTGTATTTGCGGCTGCCGCTGCTGCTGTTGTGGTTGCTGTTCCTGCTGTTGTCGCCGCTTATTCTATGTCCTCAAATTTGCGATATTTGGATAGGGGGACAGGTGGACACCCGCACGAGGCTTCAAGGACTTGTCACGCCCGATCCCAAACATCGATTGCAAATGCAAGTGGACAGGCAGCCGCAAGAAGACTCTTTGGAATAGGTGCTTGCCTTGGAGTTTTCCAGAGCTTCCCTACCTTGCACGTGGAGTGTGTACCCACAAACAGGACTGGTCGACCAAAAGATCTTTCGCAGCCGAACAGGTCTTCTTGTGTCCACCCTCTGTGCACTGGGCTGCGAGCGCTCCCGCTCTGCGGCCAGCTGTTCTCGCAAAAGCAAGAGTTCTGCATCTCCTGCCTATGTCAGGATTGCGACAGCTGCAGAGATTTGTGATTCGACTACGACGTGCCAGAACATGCTCCAAAATTGCAAGGGCCTGCTGTGTTTGCAGCTGCTCACGCAGATCGTTGGACACATTCCTCATGCTCTTCTAAGATGCACAACATGTCAACGACGACATTCCGCCTGGCCCTCATTCTCCCGGGGATGTGGCCGTTCCGTGTGTATCTGCTGCTGGCACGATCGAACTTCCGCACGAAGCCTGCAGGTTGCAGAATGCCGTCCTTTCTTGGTCTCTCTGCACCTGTGCAAGGCATCCGGCCTGTCCAGCTCCATGCTCTGCTGCTTCACCTGACATCGAGAAGAATGCTGCGGGTTCGGAGCCAGGGAGCACGCGGTCCACTCGTGAGGAGCTCGAGGATTGAAGATATGAGCTTGTTAGCCACCGTCAGTGGACTCATTTGTGTCGGTCACCTGCGGGTTTCTGCTGATGCTGCTAAATCATTGTGGGCTGTCGTGAGTCGTGCCCCGGAGTTGTGTTTCCGTCGCATGCTTCGTGACATACGCAGACGGCACACACGAAAGCAACCATGGTGATAAGGCGCACTTCTCAGCCGCATCTGCGCATTATGTTGCATCGAGATCATGATACTCTTGAGGTTTCATGAGATGTCAGGGTTGCAATCAGTGTAGCTGTTGCATAACAGGCCAAGTAAAGAGATTATTTGGTCAAAGGGTCCGCTGAGGGTGGGGCTAAATGCGCTTTGCATGCCTTCATTCTAAACCTGCAAAGGTCGTCTTACGGACGTGACCTATGTACTGCACTGATACCGCACTACGCCTGCAGGATCAATCCCCTATGAGTTCTACAAATACTACAGTTACAGACGAAAGATCGGATTCGTTGATGGACACGTGATTGCAAAAGTTGCATTGCGACGGCATTGAACACCTGTGACAGAGCAGTGTAAAGAAGCAGTGAAGCTTGGTCGAGGCTCACGTCGATTGACGGGCAAAGCACCACCCTCAAAGGATCTTAGAGGACTAGCAGTCCGCAACCCTTGAAAAACCGTTCGATGATTCTTGGCTTACAGTACGTATACCCCTGCACATATGAAGGGATTCGCGGTTACCCAGAATATACACAAAAAAGGAAAAACCGCTAAACCATGCACCCTCGCGGTACTCGCATCAGCTATTCCGTGGCGCCACTCCCTTGCACCACGGCACAAGCGATGTACATTCATTTCTTGGGAGTCTGACAGCCAGGCTTCTGTCTGGAAAACACTATGTGGTCCACTAGTTTGAGGATGCGCCAGTTCCAGCACGATCGTAGCAAAGATTAAAATGGCAATTCCCTGCATTCTCGAATTTGGTGTGCCATTGATCAAGTGTTGTAGTGCTGGCACAAAAGCTCGGAAGCCTCGTCTTGAAGCAGCTTCTCTGCAGCAGGTGCTGCCTGCTCGTGACAATGCGTAAGCAATCCGTGAAATCAACCGGTGTGGGTAGCTGCCCAGGGCAAACAAACACCTCGGGAGCTGCTAGGGTCCCTGGGCCTTCATCGGTGCAGACCTGTGCAAAGGCTGGTCGTTTGCATCACAACGTGGGCTTGTGGAGTTTCAAACGAGGGCAGCTGAGCTTAGGGCCCGAGATCGGGCAAGGCAGTGGAGCCTCATAGCGTCTCTGAAGGCCTAGTAACGGGCCCCGCAGGTGTCAGCGGCTCTTAGGATCTGACCCAGCTCCTGGAGAGTCTTGGCTTCCACAGCCTCCAACGCGACGCAGTGCGTGATATGATGCTTCATCAAGGCTGCAGCCAATATTTACTTGCCTCCCAGTCGATGTCCAATGGGGACGGTCCGGACTCCGTCCATGAAATGTCATGGGCCTCATGATGCAAAAATCATGAGGCGACACTCGCAACAACACTGGCGCAAAAACACGTCTGCAATCAAGTGTACATGCATCGCCAGATGCTGCAACCTCAACAAATTTGTTTAGAACCTGAACACGAACTCATCTTCCATCTTCCGACAAAGGACCGACACAAATGGTCGTTTGTTGCAACGGCTGTGGTCTAGAGTCAAGAACATGGGTGCAATGAGGGTTCGGCAGATTGCAGCTGCTGCCTGCAAATTGCAAGATGTGACACGAATCAAACCGTTGAGATACGCCTAGAAGCACAAAGCGAAGCCCGTAAAGATTGAGAAGTCTGAGCATGCGGGCTCGAGAACGCGGCCACACTGCCGGCATGCCGCACGCAAGCGCTGCGATAAGCCCTGCGTCCATCAGTACGGTCTGTGCAACTGTGTATTTCAGCACCGGGAGTCTGCAAACGACCGAAGCCACAATTCACTCTGCATTTCTCCTTCTCTCACCATGGATCACACGTGGTCTTCTGATCTCTTCTGGTTGAGCTGCTTATTGAGCAGGCCAGCCGCCATGCCATGGATAGCTGTTTTTGAAGCGTTTTTTGTCGCATACGTGGTTTTTACTTTTGGCCGCCAGAATTCAGACCGCAGACAGCCTCCAACGAGATCTTTGAAAACAACGCTATGGACGTGTGTGGCAGCCCCCTTGGACTACTTGAGCATGGGTTCGACCACAGGCATGGAAGGGCTCAGGGGCCAAGCTTCCGGCGGGAGGGAGCACCAAGCTTCCCGAGGCAGTGAACTTTGTATGAATATGCCACGCGCAACAGCAGCGACCGCGACAAATGCAGGCGCGTATGGCACCACTGTCAAGGTTGTGCAAGGCCTCTCCCTGCAGAACTGGGAGTGACATCAATATGGCGAGGGGCATTTTGAAGCGGCCCCGGTGTGCATACCTGGCAAGCCGCCGTCTCACACTGTGTAGCACGCGAGTCAAAGAAACCCTGGCGCTGTCCAGTGTTTTGCGGATGACTCTTCCCAGGCATTGACACTGCAGACTTGCGTTTCTTGGCCATTGAACTCGTGCAGCCCAAGTACTACTATATCACCCCTCTATTGCGGAGCCCGGCATGCACGCCAGTAGACGAGGGGGTCCGGCAAGCCAGCTTAAGACACGCTGATCACGGTGGCGTTGTTGGGTCGACACACCTGCGTGTTGTGGGTCCAAGTGTGCCAAACTATTTCCGGAACTCTTTTTGTTGGAGTGGGAGCACAGCGGCGTTGCAGAGCTTGCTTGACTTCAGAACGCCCCGGCCGTTCCCATTGTCAAAGCCGTCACATACCAGGGAAGCACAAGGCAAAAGGGTGCAGATTGCGCGGGTCCAGCCTGGTTTTGCAAAACCGTGATCTGCCGCAATCCTGTAGGATTTTACGCAGTGCAGCTTTGCGCACCTCACCGAGTAATTGCGGACTTGGGGATCCTCTACAAATCAGCTTCCCGGATTGACGGAGAACAATTGCATCTTCTGCAAGCCACGGCGGATTGTTCGAGAGTCTACGGCGGATTGCTCGAGAGTTGGATGCCGACAGCCGTCAGCGGCAGTGGAACCTGTGACTTTGGGTAGCCGCAGTGGTGCACTGATGATGCATTGTTGGCTGGGGTCCTTCGGACTCTGTACCCAGGTCACGCAAAGTCGAAAACAACGTGGACGTCGGTCGCAGCGCTGCACACGCAAGGCCCCGCACCGGGGTTGCAGAGCTGCAGCATGCATTCATATAACGTATAATATCGCGACTCTCGAGCCGAATCGTAAGGATCTGCTTCAGGCCTCGACTTAAACTCGAAAGTGTCTCCTCATGCTTTGTACTTCATGTACTTCTCAGTTCTATCTCTCGTCTCTCACCGTGGCTGGCTGGCAACTGGCTGCGGGATGCTGCCCGCAGCGGAGTCGATGCCAAACAGCAGTAAGGTACCTCGACTGCGACCAGCGCACCCGGATTGGTCGGCAAGCTGCTGGACACACCAACCTCAGTCCCAAACGTTCGGCATCAGGCAGGGGTCTGCAAGGTCTTATCATGATTTATCAGACTCTGAGCTCTCCTGCCCAAAACTTCGCCAACAAATCTCCTGGTGGGACCATGTGCTCAGCCGGACACGTATGCCACAGCCAGCACGCCCCTGCTCACAGCAATTGCCTCAAAGTCTGTTCAGAGCAGGAGAAGACAAACCCTGGATCTCTGGTGATGTCCTCAACGATGTTGAGCTTGATGTGCTACGGTGCGAACTGTTGCTGACGTGCGCTAAACTTGCTTGCAAGCTTTAAGCCTCAAGGCTCACAGCGAATGAAAGCTGGTAACACGGCGGGTAACAGTAATTTCAGCATGCATAATCTAATAATACTTGCACACAAAATCAAGAAACAACACCAAGTTCAAGACCTCAACGTTCAAGGACCAAGAAACATGAAGCAGCTGAGACATCAAAGCGCGACGAACAGTGCTAGATTATGATTCGTCCCGCATACAATCCTCCCAACTGTGCTTTCGAGCATGCTATAGAAATCAATCTCCTCTGAATTCGGAAATACTAGTAGCACCATCACACGAGCCATTGTCTCTTGAGAAATGGTGCTTGGATGCCAAGAAGTGTCATGTTGAGAAAGCGCCTCCGAAGCACGTGCAGCCGCCAAGATTGCAAGCTGCTGCCTGACCAAGAAAAAGATCCTAACACAAGGGCAGTTCTCCGCCTTGTCTTTTGCCCTCTGTCTGCCTCAGTGTGGTCACCATGCTGTTTTGGTCCGCCAGCCGTGCCTTTCAATGTTGCCGTTCAGCAGAGTACTGCATATCTCGAGGCCGCGATATTCGATGCTTGCTTTATGGTGGCCTCTGCTGCTGACAACGAGGCTGCACTCCCAGCGGCTGCGGCCGCGGTGCACTCTGCCTTGCCAGAAAAGCTGTGTGACATGAGATGCCCTTACTTTTCAAAGTCCACATTTGCGGTGCAAGAATAAGAACGAACCTGGCATGCAAGTGCTGTCTGGGTTTCTGACACGCTGCTGGCTCTCGAGCGCCATTGCAAGCTGCTCCTCCGAAATAAGACTTGAGGGGCGGGGCCAGGGAGGCGAAAGCTAGCCTAGGCTGGAGGGACGGCAAGCGATACATAGCTGGCCAGGCGGGCTCCAAGCATCATCACATCCAACCACATCAGCAACGGAAGGCAAATAGGGGTGAGGCGGGCAATCAGCAACGGAGGGGAAACAAAGCTGGCGACGCGGGCTCCATCAGCAACGTGGGGGAACGGAGATGGCGTCATCAACTCCAGCACATCCAACCACATCAAAAACTCAAAAGGGGAGTATGATCGATAGACCATGATCTATCAATTCAGTTGGGGTATGGCCGGCATGAAGGCCCCACACTGCTAACGCAAATAGAGTCAAATAGAAATGAAAGCCTCGCTGCGCTAGCTTTCGTGACTTCAAGCAACCTGTGATCATATTGCATTGCAATTTCTAGCAGATTCTAGATGATTCTAGCCCCTTCAATATGCTGCAGTGTCCACTAAAATTGAGAGATTTGCATTGGCAGGAGGCTTCCCAGGCCAGCCTGCATTGACCGCTGTTCGAGACGTAGTTGATGAACCTTTCATGTCACACTTCTGCACATGTGCATCGCTGCCAAGAGGGAGCGGTTCAATCTAAGCAACAAGACAGCACGCCACACGTTCCGTGGGTGAAGAGACAGAAACACTTCAAGCGAAATGAACTCGAAAATCTGGAATATCTCCGCTCTTCGGCGCCCGCACCTTTAACACGAGCTTTGGCTTTGCTTTGCGCTTCGGAGTCCGATCTTGGCCGTTTGTTCGCCAAAACATAGCATTATGACATAGCATTATGAAGCCTCTACCTGACATTACCTGACCAACCTGTATTCGGCACATCATGTGTGGATAGCTGCCCGTTTCGGGAGCTCCAGCGACTTCGTACAATGCGAGTGTGGGCTGGGCTGCTTAGAGGTTGCATTGGTCTCCGACCGTGTGCCATGCGTGTACAAACTCTTCTCTTGGCACGCTTGCGGCTCTGCAAAGCTGATAAACCTGATCTATCAACGGACTGCCAATAAGGAGAGGACATACGTACCGTTGCAGCTATACAGCGATCGCGGATGTGTAGCATACCGGTTCTGGCACTGTTGGACTATGTAGATGTGGCACATGCGGAAAAGTTGGTTCAATGCTGAGCCGGTGCCTCTGCTGATGCATTGCGAAGTTCAGCTTCCGCAGCTCGCTTTGCAGCATCAAGCTCCCACTCCCTGCATGGACCATGCGGTACTCACTGGGCGGCACAATCGCAGCTATCTGTGGCCTCATTTGCCGCTCTCCGTCCATCCGCAGCTGCTCCCGCACCTGCTGCCTGGCACGTACGAATAGATCCCATCTGTGAACAGCACCAAGGACGATCGCCGAACCGAGTGAACAGGCCGTCAGGCCCTTGCCTCACATGCCGACGGCCCGGCCCCACACCCTCGTAAAGCTCGTCGGAAGGGACTGAGCGTCAGCCAGCTGCGAGTGCTGAGTGCGCATGGCATCCCGAAGCTGGTCCTGCAAAGGGCGTGAACGTGCCAAATGTGCGAAACGCTGAATCCTTCAACTTCTGGGCTGATGGAGCTGAGCAAAGAATTGCCAATGATCAAGTACTGCAGCCTCCAAGCTGATTGTACATCGCACCGGAAACTGGCATTCTGATCGACGAGTGGGCCAAAAGAAAATTGGACGGATTCATGTCGACAGTTTCTTCAACAAACAGTGTAGTCTTTCCCAGAAAGGAGGGAGGTGTCTACAAGCGGTCCACAAGTCTTTTCCGCTCCTTGCATGCTTGGCTCTGATGGTATTTGTTGGTTGCTCATGTTGCATCCAAGGGAGCCTTCGGATTCAGAGCTTCGGGTGTGTCTTGGGGTTCGGGAAACAAGCTGGTTTAGGGTGTAGGGGCTTAATTGTCTCACAAACTCGAAGCTCCTGAGGTATCGGACGGAATAAGACATTGAGGGCTTCGGGTTGCTCTATAGGTTGCCAAACTGGTGTGGTGTAGGTGTTGCTGAAAGAGACACGAAGTCCAGTTGACGGATTCTTTGTACCTTTAGTTCAATTGGATTCAGGAAGTACCAAGATTCCTTCCAATGGTCTCTGCTTGTGATTCAGGAACAGATCTTGACCACGTCTTGAAAGCCGTGGTGGGTGCTCCCCTCCCCAACAAGTGTATTGAATGTTGCGGGTGGGCAGGTGTGCATTGCGTGTCCTTTTCTTCGACACAGCTTGCTAACTGTGGTACGTTGAAGTGGATCAAGTGAGATACACCGTCATGGAGTCTGCACTGAGCAGTCAGTACCTAGCACTACCATCTTGTTGGAACCTGCAGACTATGCTTTGCAGTCCAGCGCCTGATGGACCTTTGATGAGCGAAGCTGCTCCTCCAGCAGTGACACCTCGGGGACGTCAAGCAAAGATCTGGCAAGGTGTAACCACTAGGCCCCTAGGCAAAAGGCGAACGTGGCAAACACGCGAGATGCGACTTTCAGCTCTGTGGTGCAGCTATTGGCGCGAAGGTGGCAAAGTCTGCGAAGGCAGCCTCTGCAGGGACGCTCTCCCTGTTCTGCTCCTTGCGATCCTTGCGCTCTTGTTGACGCAAGTCTTCGTTCGGATCCTCTCCCAAGATTCGGAAGCGCTCGACCTCTGCTGCAAGACGGACAGCTGAAGGGCGTTTTGAGGGCTCACGGGCCAGCAACCGTCGTAGCCAGCCGAGCAGTGCCGGAGCATAAGATGCAGCAGCCTCTGTGGGAATTCGATAGCTGGCTGTGATGTTGGCGCAAGTGGATTCCATGGGAAATGGATGTTGTGCTGTCATAGCTGCGAAGAGAACGCATCCCAACGCAAACATGTCAACCTTGGCCCCAATTTTCCATCTCAAATAAACATCTGCCAGTTCAGGTGCTCTGTACATGGGCGTGCAGCGGCCATGAATAAATTCTTGTGCATCAAGCAACAGCTTCTTGTCCGCACCCTCGAGGTCGAAGGATCTTTCGCTTGCAGAGCCAAAGTCGCCCAACTTCCAAAGACTGTCTGAGCCAAGGAGGACATTCTCGCTTTTCACATCGTAATGAATGAGACCCAGCCGGCTGAGATAAGCAAGGGCTTGGGCGAGGGCTCCAAGTACTTCCAAAATTGTATCCTGTGGAAGACAGGGGCAGTGCCCGGGTTGGTTTTGCAACTGATCGGCAGTGGATTTGGTCGCAGCCACAACCTTGCTATCGATTGTTTCAAACAGCGTGCCACCCGTACATAACTCAAACAAGTAGACCGCTTCGCTAGCAGTGCCCCTTTGTGTTACCTCAGCACCGAGGAATCGCACTACGTGTGGATGATCGCAAAGGCTGTTGAGCAGCTCGATCTCAACTTTTGCTTTTTCCAAGGTTTCCCTGTCTTGGAGAAGCACCTTCCTGATGGCCAGCTTCTCGCCTGTCTCCGCATCAAGGCCAGCATAGACATATGCAAAGCCCCCGTCGGCGAGCAACTGCTGTTGCTGCACTCTACGACCTGCGACGACACATACAGATGGCCCTGTGGCTTCTTTCACGGCTTGAGCTGCGCCCAGCAGCCACTGCATGATCGCTTCAGCTACCTCTTACCGTATATGAATGGTATCCAAGTGCTGGTCAAGTCGGAGATATGCTGTGGCCATTCGAGGTGCTATGGCTGTGAATCTCACGAAAACGTGAGGCTAAGCTGAACGGCGAGCGGCATCTCTCAGCTCGGTGCACAAGCGCTGGGCTTTCTGAGCCGGACTGTTTGTGAGGCTTTCGCTCTTTCTGGGAGTGTGCAGCTACCACATGCTCAGTGTGCAGCGAACCAGACAGCATGTGGCTGGCCCAACTGCATTTGTGACGGAGAATCAGGCTTGCTACTTGGTAGTAGCTAGTCGCTTTGTCTGTGGGTGTGTGTTGTCTCTCAGTGTGCATTCTTATTCCCGTGATCGAGCATAGTGTTCTGGTCAGTGTTTGATAGCGTTTGGAGCCCATTCTGGCTTTGGACTAATTGTTGCTGCCGATTGTTGCTGTGTCACCGATCACCTTAGAAAGCCCACTCTGCCTTTCGTGTCCGGTCGGTCAAAGTCCGCCCTTGATGTCTTGCCTGCCTCCCTGCCCGGTTGGTTGTCCTTTGCACTCTCTACATCCTCTGCTTGTCGCTAAGTGCTCCGGCACATAAGTACATGTTTCCAGTTCCGATGGAAAATGTGACAGAACCCGACCAAAGCTCTATCTCAAGGAAGCATCTGCGACCCGTGCTCGTCTCTCGAGCTTCTGCCGCTCTGCCTTGGAAAACACGCTGCACTCCTCATGCATGCAGCAACAAAAAACGGGCCTGCCAACCTTCTGGCGTAGCTTCTGCTCTAACCTCGGTAGAACGAGTGATGTAAAAAGCGGCTTATGGCTCCGAGGGCCCATCCAGCTCGCGCATGGATGCCATGAACTCGCCCATGGACACGCTGCTCAAAGGCACCTCAGCACAGACTCAAGAAGACTCTTTCGGAGCGTTTTTCTAAGCTCCTTCTTGCGACGATGGCCTCGGAGCCTCGGAGCTTCGAGCCGAGGCCCGAGCCTCCAAAGCGGGACCGGTCGGACCTGTCATCGGCGGCATCGACGGCGGCACAGGTCCTGGCCAAAATGCGGTCGTCGCGAGTCTCTCGCATGCAAACCCATCTCCTGCATTGAAGCCCTTCGCCATTTCAGCGATCCTGGGTGGCGACATTGTGCTACACAAGTAGGTTCTGCGCCGTGGCCGTGCTGCCGCGAGGCGCAGCCGCACCATGAGCGGAGTGCACAGCCGGCGATGCTATTGGCATTCGTGTGAGGCCAGGCCTTGACTGGGAAAAATCTATCAGAATCGTGATACCTTCTAACCCTTTCTCTGCATAAATTCATCTGAGATCTCAGGCACAAAAGGGAGAGCTCCGAGGTATGCATAAGGCCTGGAACATGGACGGCAGCTCGTTGCAGCTTGTCTCAGCTGAATCCTGAGGTGCCCACGCAGTGCCACTTTCCTGTACAGCACTCCAGTACCTGGAGATTCCAGCTCATCACAAGAACTCAAGAAAAGCGACCTTTCCACGAACATGCCTTCCACCTGACAGGCTTGACCGGTGGGCACTGTCGGATGATCTCAGCGGACGGATGTCCATTCTGCAAACCTTTGATAGGTGAAGTTTTCGAAGAACTTTTGTACATGCGTTCCGTGCTTGCTTTTCACGGCCCCTGCAAGTTGCTCGCAACTCTCGGCTGGGGTCCTGTCCACCTTGGTTCACAGGCAGCGGCCCAGGATGCGCAGGCCTGCAACGAAGAGGCCAACTTGTCCAAACTTCATGCTTCAGCGATCTCGTGCCTGGGAGGGCTTGAGCACACACCCGGACCTGGAAGCACGGGATCCTGCATGCTGAAATGACATGAAATGATGACACAACCTTGCAGGAGCTCCTTTGCTTCCTTCGGTCTCCCGCTTGAATAGCTACCCTGCGAGATGAGCACGACATAACAGGACTTGGTGCTCACAGCATCATTTGGCTGGAAGCCTTTTCTTCAACGTCACCCTCAGCCAAAGGCCTTGCTGAACGAGTCACAGGAGAAGACATGGATGTTGAAAAGATGAACTACTTGATAATTCGGACATCTTAGTCACGGCATCATGCCGATGGCACCGGGGGGCAGCGAAGCTGCCGCAAGCCTTTCGACCACAGGAAAGAACTGTGCGCTTGTGCACCTCCATCTGTAGCTGCTGGCTACCTGACGAATTTCACGATCAATCTTTTCTCCAAGGGGCTTGGCCATGCGCTCTTTGACCGAAAGTCGTTTTGTGTCCTGCTGCTCGAATGTTGGGACATGTTCTGTTGACAGTGATGCAAGCCTTACAAATGCTGACTGTTGTTGACTCTCAGTCTCTCCGCTTTCTTCTTCTTCCTGTCCTTCTTTCGCACTGGCTTTGCAAATCCCCCAGTAGGGTGGGGCCCAATCGCAGTTTCGTGCAAGCGAGCGCTTGTTGCGGCTTCCTGTGTATAATTATGGCCTGTAGTCATCAGACGGAATGCAACCGAAGGCGCACTTCTAAATAATCGACGGATTGGTTGGGTTTCCACGTGATGCAGACGGCTTTGGCCGGTCCCCGGGCTCTCCTGTACACACCGAGTTGGCAAGCCAGTGTGTTCACAAGAAGTCGTGCATCTCCACAGTTGTGCTTCTTTTGTTTGTGGTTGTCATGGTGGACAAAGGATGACAAAGGTCTTTCACGGACGCTGGCCCTATCCCAACGGATGAGCTCATAGCCCCACTCCCAGATTCACTGCTCGTCGGCATCCTGTGCCCTTTCGAAGAAGTGCCGGTCCAGGATTACCCCATGCACACGGGCCACCTGAAGGAACACGTCCTTGGCATAGCAGTCACTCTGATCACACGGCCATCCCAGTCTGCGCCCGAGATGCCCGAGATGGTGACGCGATACCTTCGGTCGCCCCTCAGCAAGCAACGAGCATTCCCAGCAAAGGTGGTCCGAAGTAGGGACATGTTCATAACGACACCGCGGGCACTGGTCCACTCCATTCTTAAAGACGCCACACACAGCCGAGTTGACAGCTCCACCATGAAGCACGTCGCGCCCATGAGTAGTATCTTACAGGCTTCCAAACTCATGAGGATGTCATCACGAGACAAAGTAAGCACCGCCGCTTCCACACCAAGGATCCATCTCTGAGCACGCTCAGCCATGCAGCTGGCCAAAGTGCGACACATGATCGGTTGGATGCAGATCGGCCGGAGCTTATCACCGGGCGTGACGTCTGCAAGGATCTCTTCTTTGGGAAAGAAGACCTGTAGTGAATGCAGCTGACGAGAAATGCCTCGCGGGTGCACCAATCTTCCCATATACACAAACAAGTGCGCCACGTCAACGGAAAATAGGCAAGCTCTTCCGGTTTCCACCCATCCGGGCCAGGGGCATCCAGGCATGCTTTGGCCCAGGTCACAATACCCTCTCGCAGCTGCGACAGCTTGCCACGAAAACCGTGTACGAAACGACGATACTCACCAAGCTTCATGATAGTCAGTGTGGAGCCTTTGTTGGGCCGTGTGGAACTGGCCGCCGCCGAACCACCAGACTGCGCAAAGGCATCGTCGAGGGACGCTTCACGTGTGCCACAGAAGTTGCGCCAGCTGCTGCATGCTGCTGCAGGCTGTTTCGTCCAAGCCCTGGCCACGAGTCTAGGGCTTCAACATGCTCAGGCTTGCGGAGGTCACGCACGGGCCGCAAGTATGCAGTTGACTCGCGACACGGAGTCGGAAGCAATGCTCCTTTCAGCAACAGCGGTTTGTGATCCGAATTTCCTTTCCCCAAAATAAGCCAGGGTCCCAGGCGAGCTCGGCCCAAAAGATCGCGAAGTCAGTACACTTATCGGAATCATAGCGAGCAGCAATGCCCGAACTTGCGCACACGGAGCCAACCACTAGAAGGCATCCATGGCGGCACAGTTATGCTCATGGGAAAAACATTCCAGTCGCCGGCCGCACACCAGGGACGAAACAAAGGCTAGACCATCATCCACGTTGGCGCAGTGCTGAGTGCTTCTCCTCGCTCTCATATCCCGAAGAACCTTCGGGACTGCGGTGTCTCCTCCATGGCTCCAGCGGCGCCTCCGTCGCGTCTGCGACGGCGGCGTAAACTGCTCCCCACTCGAGTCATCCACTTCGGCCTCCCAAAACTTATCATAGTACGACCGCGCCCCATATGGCTTTGTGCACTAGGGCGCTGAAGCCGCTCCTTCAAATCCTTCTCCTCCACGACGAAGAGGTTCAACCATTCAACGGTGATTCATAGGTTGCCCGGTCACAGTTCGCGCCCACAAACCACTCACCACACAAAATCACCGGCGCAGCACCAGCCTCGGCCCAGGCTGTTCCACGTAAAAGGAGCCCTCACTGAGCTCAGTCCACGGCTGCCTCTTCACAGGCCAGCCACGAAGGGCTCACACGGGCCCACCGCAGGCTGCCTCGCACAGCAGCCGCTCTGGATCGCAACACGGCTCCGCTGCCACCTTGAATGTGGCAGCGGTCAAAACAAGGCAAAGCCTACCGAGTACCCTTTTGAGCGCACGCACACGCACGCGCACGCACACACACGCACGCAAGCGCGCATGCACGCACGCGCGCACGCGCGCACGCACGCGCGCACGCATGCACGCACCCACACCCACACACCAGTGCACAAAGACTTCCAGCGGCTGCGGCGGGTGCTTCGAATGAAAATGCCGCTCCGAACAGCTGTCACATGCGTGGCTTCACACGAACAGGGCCTGTTCTTGGAGCGTCTAGGGGAGCAACTGTATCTCGCATGGGCTGTTCTGGTACACATACGTCTTTCATCGAGCGGGTTCACCCCCAGCTACCGGGCCAAAGCGGCAATCACTGCCCTGGCAGCCTGTTCACCGCGACATTGCGGATATGATTGGTACTGACCCCTGCAAACTGGATCTCCGCCTGTCTGACTCTCTCCCTACCTCTCTCTCTCTCACCACACTCCTGGTTGATCTCGACTGGACGGTCTGCGTCGGACTGGCCTTCTGCAACGACCTGCAGCATTGGAGCGCTCCGTGCGACTCATGGCAATGCCACTGACAAAGCTGCCTCCAGCAACAGCACTGAGTCATCACCTGGGCTTTGAGCCACGAATGTCCCAGCAAAGGCTCAGCTGGAGCTCGTGTTAGGGGCAAAGCTGGAGCGAAGAGAGCCCTGGCAACCTGCGGAGGCTTCGATGGGATTTTCGGCTCAGGCACTCTGCTGCGTGTGCCTGGTGGCACTGCCAGGAGCGCGACAGAACCTGCGAGCTGCCCCTCCAACGCGCGGGAAGCACCTGCGCTCTCCCTATGGGGGCCAAACGCGTGCAAACACAGAAAGCCACTGGCACTGGCCTGAGCCCCACCAGGCATCAGCAGACTCCAGCTGCTCGCGGGGGAAGGAAGAAGTGCTCGGAACCTTGATAGAATTTCATGGTGTGAACTAAGACGCCCATGCAGAAGTCGGTGCTACGGTGTCCACGGACGATCAACGAAAGGGTTAGGGGTGGGACCTCGCCTGCAAAAGTGAACAGCAGCGAACTTTTGTTCACACAGATTCGGGCCCTGAGAATTGCACCGTGGCCTGTGTTTCGGACTGCAGAAGGCTCCTGTGCCACCTCAGTTTGCACCTACCTTCTTCTTGTTCTTCCGAGATATTATGAAGCACGAGGCTTCAACACTGCTGACAAGCGTAGCGAGCAAGGTGCAGCCTTCCAACGGAGCGCGTGCGCCGGGAAGAAGGAATAAGGCACACTGCAGCTCGTCTAACGGTCACCTCTGTGTCCGCACACTTCAGCTCGACAATGGCAACTGCTCCGGAACTGGCTGCCTGGAACGTGCAGTGCAGGCATCCAGTCTTCAAGTTGGACTATCGAACAACTCTATGGACCGAGTGTTGAACGTGATTGTTTGACCGTGCTTGTGGCATACCACTCGTGCACCAGGCTGCTTGCCCAGCGATCGGATAAGACATTTTGTGTTGATGGTGACGGGCACGCTTCCGCTCCATACACGTTTACGCTCAGCTGTCTGTAGCTTCAGCCAAACCGATCAAGTGAACGCTGTATGGCAATGCCAATATGTTGGTTGATCGTCGACAGCAAGGATCAATGATCAAACAAGAAGCTTGGCGCTGCCCTCGAGACCCCTTTCTGATAACTTCAAAGACATGTCCATGTCTGTGCATTGCCACATGGAATATATTGATGGGAACTGACCTTGGCGATGCTCTGTAGTTGAAATCGCAAGTCGTGCAGAGTGTTTGACACGACAGGACCTTCGCTGCAAGCAGCAGCCGCGCAAGTGGCACTGACCTGAGCCGAAAGTTTCTCTGTTGCTGCATGCTTGTCTTGAGGCAGACTTCGAGGCATCGACTCTTCGGTTTTCTCAAGTTGTAAGGCCCAGTAAATTCCCGTGTCGTCGTAGAACGACCTTGCACCAAGCACCGGCACAACTCGGATTTTCAAGAGCACGGGGCTCCGGTCTCTTCGCACACCCATCAAGATCCCGGATCCTTTCTTCGCTTGAGCAAAGCTCTTGGAACCAAGCACCGTTCCTGAGCCACCCTACACGGAATCCTGCGAGGGCGTCTGCAGCTCCAGCACTGCAGCAGCCACTCGCAGGCGCTTGCGCCTTGGAGGAAAGTGAGGAAAGTGGGTTAAAACTGGGTGTAGGATCGAGGCGGGCACTTTCTGATGGCAGTGTACACTAGGAGTTCCAGCTGATGCCTGACATCGGCAGAGCTCCTGGGCCAGTACACCGGCTGAGTAGCAGGCATTGTTTCTAAAAAGCTTGCACCTCAGTACGGCTACGAAGAGGCCGTCCCGGCCCTCGCCAGCTTCGACCTGCTCGGAGTGCGAGGCCGGAGGGGGCCCGAAGTCATGGGCCGCTCGCTCTCAGAGTTTTGTACCCGTCCTTCTACCCTGAAGTCTTGAATTATCCTGGCAATAAGCGCAGCTTCTTCACCCTACACTCCGTGTGGGGTTGGGGTCGCCCTCGCGAACAAGGACAGAATTGAGATTCAAGGCCTCCATCATTTCATCTCCGGCATCGTCCAAGCGGAAAAGCCGAGTAAGACCACTCCACGCAATCTGCGCAGACGAAGCATGTAATACAAGGCACGCGTGCAGTATGCACATGCATACTGTATGCACGTTCAGCGAACGGAGGATGACTCTCGGCTTCGACATTTTCCGACAATCATTGCTCGATGGTCTGTGGTGCCGCATTGCTCCGCCCAAAGAGGATGTGATTGCCAGCACCTTACCAGCTGTTTGGGGTTCTTAGCAATTCTAGCGCTGCATTGCGGGTAACGTGGCATCAATGGCCATTGCCGCCAATTTGCTGACTTCCTCCGAGACTGCTCCACCCAGGAACTCTTTGTACAGCATGAGCTGATCAGCTGCATAGGCTGGGTTACTGAGGTTCTCCACAACCAAGCCGCTTGGCTTCAGCAACTTCAACACATTCTGTAAGTCCTGCAGTGCCAGCAAGCTGCACTGCTGAGAATGGACCATACCCGTCCTGTCTGGTAAGCTTAATATTGTGTCCAACATCCGTAACCTCGGGGATCGCAACTGTTGCCAATTCGTGCCAATTTGCATGGGAAAGTGACTCTGGCTCATGCTCAGGCACTACGGAAACAGTAGGCTTCCCACAACTGCATCGAAAGATTGCGGCCGCTTGTGTGAAAGGTCAGCAAGAGCGTGGTGCAAGTCTTGCACCAGAGCCTGACCTGATTCATCAGGTGTGGCGCCATGTTCTTGATGCTTCTGTTCCCAAGTGCCCATAACCATCATAATACAGTGTAAACCGGAGACTCGGACCTCTGTATGCGAAGAAGTCCCGCGCTGCTCGGACTACGTCCGAGTTGTTGTCCACTGCCAATACCTTTAGAGGCAGTCCACATCACAATAAAAGCTTTGGAGGCAACTCTTTTCCTTGCAATCAAGAGTCATGCGTACCGGGGCAGGATTCTTTCAAATAAGTTGGGATTGTGCCACCTGTCAGCAAGCTTTAGCTTTAGCGATCGTATGTCCGTGCAGCCGGGAAATGTCTGCCTCCAAGGCCCAGGACCAGCACATCTTGCTGGTGCCCGCAGTTGTGGATCAGCGGGTGCAGGATGCGTTGGGCGTAAGGCAACAGATCTGCAAACCCTCGTGCGGACAAAGGCAGGGGCTCTCATGCTCTCAGTTCTTTGTCTTCTCTCCCCCCACCTCTGCTGAAGTCTGGCGCTTTGCAGTGCAGAGCAGCCCTTCCACACAATGGCTTACGTGTCTTATCAGTTCCCCCGCCCGCCCGCCTGATGACATAAGCAATCCGAGGATCCAAGCAGAGTGCTAGAACAAACAACTCGGTGATCCGCCTGACCGTCATGTCATCACAGCGTCCATGAGCTTGAGGAGCCGGGCCGGCGGTACATCGCATCGCGGATTGTAGAAAGCGAGGCCTAACCGAGGTGCAGCTGACCCGTTCTTCGGCCAGTCAGCTCAACCGTCCCGCGGGCCTGGTGGTGTCCACCATTTGTCTCACGTTGTCCGCAGAGACAGTGACCTGGTATGAGATGGTAGTGCCAGGAATTGACACGACAAGAGCCCCTGGTGCCACACTCAGTTCAGGACTGCAACTGTCTCATCTTGCCCATAGCCACGGCATCCAGACGGTACATCAAGGAGCTCGTGAGCTCCGGGCATCCCGCTCTTAGCCCTTACATCTCAAAGTCAACATAAGATAATTGCGACACACTTCGCTTCGAGGGTACGGACTTCTAAACACAACACTCGGTGGGCAGCACAAATCCGTAATGGCTTGATCATTCCTCCTTTCTCAGCCGTTGCAAAAGAAGGTGCTGGGAAACTTTGGCCCTCTGACTGAAGTTGCTTTGCAATGACCTACATCGGACAAAAGACTGCATCAATTGAACTGCATCTGCTTCTTCGACATGGAGCAGAGAAGCACTTTTCCCGAGTGGCCGAGGTTGACGCCCACGGCTTGTAGCATCCGATAGCTGTCAAACACGCGATAGCTCAATCTGCAGAATGACTCGCCGGCCGGCTGTCACGGGCCTTGGTGGTTAATATTGCCTATCCCTGAGATGATGGTGAACTAAGCCGTGATAAGAGAAGGAGAGGGAGAGGGAGAGGGAGAGAGAGAGAGAGAGAAAGGCGTTGTAACTTGCAAATGATGGCAACATACGCAACATGCCTGCAGGCAAAAAATGGCTTGTGCGTCCAGGAGACGTTATCCAGTGAACGAGCTTCTCGCCACCTCAGTGAGATACTGGGGCCTGCTCCAGCTTACAGGCAGCCTGTCATGTTGAGAGCGGCGCGGAAAAGCACCTTCGATGCGAAAACGGCAAAACCAGGATGCAAACGCAAACACATCTGTACTGATGGTTGCGGTTCGAGGCACGATGTCCCCTTTTTGCAGTGTAACCTCCAACCAAGAAGTTGTCGGAAGCCCATGTTCCACACCGCAGTACTCCCACCAATCAAAACGCTCACGCCGGTACCTCGCGGTGGCCCCGACTTCCTGAAGCCCTGCGAAAGCAGCTTCGGCCGCCGACGTATGCGTCCGGTGCAGACAGCATTGCTACCATTGTCACCTGCAGGTTCAGCGTTTTCCCAGAGGCCCGAGGACCATTACTTCCAGGCACAGCAGGTGGTGGTTAGAATGCTAAAACTTAGCTGGGATGCAGCAGACTTGTTGTCAACGTGCGGTTCGATGAAGCAGGGTTCTCCCATTTCATCCACGTCGTACTCGATGTATTCTACCTCCGGGTAGACTTTCCTCAGTGTTGAACTAGACTAGCCCAGACAAACTGGGCAAGCAAGCCGTTTCCTGCTTGTCGGATCTGCCAGTCACTCAAAGTCGCTTTGACTTGCACAGCCGTTGCCACTGTGCCTCATCCGCGCTGCGCATCAGGGCCATCAGCCGGGCCTCGGAGGCTCGGGAATGGCGAGAGACCATGGCGCGACACTTTGCAAAGTCGAAGCGCATAAAGCTCAGGGTAGAGGGAGCGGAGCTGGAGCTCGAAACGCCAGACCCTGCCAGGATGATGCCTATTGCATACTGCCAGGGGTCTTCCTCTCCCGCCTGTGCTTAAAAGCCAAATAGCCCTTTCGGTCATTGATCTCCTTCACCGAGCTGTGCTTGGCGGCGGCAGCAATGGCCTCCCAATTGGGCCGCTGACATGCTGGGCGTCGGTCACTTCGGTCCCCTTCGGTCCCCTTCCCCTCTCCTCAATCTCGTCTTGGCGCAAAAATGCCGGTGCCAGTGCGAAGCCTCGGTACCTGAGTCTTCGTCCTGTCAACTTGTCTGCCATGTCCAGAGCCGAAACACAAGAGCATTCGCCAACTGAGGCACTCGCTTTTTTGGGGCATCGAACCAGTACCTCAAGATCTTCCATTCTGTGCAGTTGGCCAGGTATAGAAGTCAACATGCCTGAACACACACATAACATTAGAAGGGCCGATCCGATGGAATCCCAAACAGCCTCATTGAATCAGAGGCAAAAGAAAGCACAAAGGTACACCGAGATCAATATGGAAGTCCACCACGGTACACAAACGATTGATGAACACGGTACAAGGAAAGGTACAGAACAAGGTCAGGCCAAGAAAAGGTAAATGACAGCTACACAATAGAGGTTCAATAAATGACAGCTGCAAAAGGGCAAAACCGAGGTACAATGGAGGTACAGCTCAAGCAAAGTAAAACAAAACACAGCAAAGGTGAAATGGTGACTATCTAGATGGTACTCAGCTCCCTTTCATCTACCTCGTATGTACATGTGCTACTTCTAGCAACGCACTTGTCTGTAGTCAGGGTTCTGTTACTCTCTATATACAAATCACTCAACATGATGTGCAGCTTTGCCTCCGTGATATGGGGCTTCTAAGCATAACATCGTAGAACTGTATAACAAGTATAACCCGACTAGGCAATCACCGAGCTCAATCGGAGGGATTGGATCGTATGAGAAGGTTGTGCTTGTTTTGGGAGTTCGGCGAGAGTGTGAATTAGGATGAGACCGGAGCAAAGCATAAGTCGCGTGTCGGTGGCAGCTTCAAGAGCCGCAAGAACACAACTCCCACAGAAACCGAGCAAAGGTGAGACGCAAATTGCCTGGCCCGCCAGCCTTGAGTCGTTGTGTGCTGCGGTCTCTTTACCCGGCATTTCGTTTCCGTCTCTGCATGCGGAAGTACTTGCAACAGAAACTCGTGTCTTTCGCGAAGACCCTACCGGTCCTTTCTTTGTTCGCTTCCACCCACATACTGTCACTGCTTTGCGGGTGGCGTGTATTGCGGGATGTTGTGGGGATGCTGGCTTCTTTCCGTGAGGGAATGCTCGTAAAATCCCAGGACGTGGGCCACGTCAAGCCACCATTCAGGCCAGCCTTATTTTTCTTGAAGCAGGGTTAGCGGCTGCCGAAACGCAGCAAGGCATGGCTGTGTTGGCACGGCACGGCATCGCATGCGTCGCCTCTCAAGCCTCCTGCATTGAACTGAATGCGTTGCCCCGGTGACCACTAGTGCACACAGATGCAATCACCCTCCTGGATGGCCTGCTGCTCCAAGGCAAGCCAGAATGCAGCACTGACAAGTGCGAGGACTTTCGTGTGCTATATTCCAGGACCCGGCAGCTGGCGACGGAAACACAGTGGCTCGTGCACAAGGATGCTCATTCCATGTTGAGTTGCGAGTCGGGCTACCGACCACCCGTTTGACAGTCGCATGCTTGTTTGTCAAACTCTTGCACCGAATCACAGACGAGAAACAATCAGCAACTAGCTCCTATCCAGCTCTCTCCGAAAGGACTGCCATACTTGGTGAAGATCTTCGAATTTGTCCGAGGCGAGTGTCTCTCTGCCGAGGCCGGAGGCCGGGTCTTGGCATCAGCCTTTTTCTCCCTTATCCCTTTGTTTAGGCGGCTGTGACCACTGAGGTTCAATTTTCTGTCATTTTCACATGTCGCGGGTCCCCCAGGAGTTTTGGGAATGGGCCCCTACACAGCTACGCTCTGCATCTTGTGGACCGCTGCTGCAGACTTAACTTGTAAAGATTCAGTAAACAGTAGTTACTCAGTTACTAGTTGCGGAGGTCCCACCTCTCCAAGTCTGGGCTCGCTGCAACTCTCCGCGCCGATGCCGCTCTGGCTCGAATCGTTCTGCCAGTCTCTGCCTGTCACCGCCGTCCGATGACAGCAGCGGCGGGCCTGCAAGGGCTCAGAAGGAGTGAGATCAACTGAGCAACTTTTGCACCTGAAGCCTCTTCGGAAGCTGTTTACATCTTATCTCCTGATACCATCCTCCATCCTAGCCGATGGTACATCCTTGTTCCGATCTCAGCATTGGCGGCGGGGCGGGAAGCCCCGGCGGTCAGGGCTGAGCACTTCGCGGTCAACCATCCAACGAATGGGGGTGCACGCTTCCAAGGTGTCGAACAAATCTCGCAAGGTCTTACGATGTCCCATTCCAATCCCTCTCGCTTCCACGAATCCTGACGTAAGCTTTTCCAGCCAGCGAGCTTCAGGACCCCATCGAAAACTGGCCGCAAGACTTCGGTGGAGCATCTTCTAGCGCTTTCACTGCGATCTGCTGGGGTCCACGCTGTCGGAGGGCGGCGAGAAATTTGATGCTTTTCCTTTGATGAGATTCCACTGCTGCTGCACCTGCAGCGGATGAGACGTGCAGTGCCGCCCTGGTTACTGCCCTAGTTTTTTAAGATTTTTTGCATGCTAGGGACTGGAAATCCAGTTATAGGTTATTTACCATTCTGGGTAGGATTTGGAATATCATCATTTGGAGGATTTGATTTTGCTCAGGATTCTTCTCAGGATTTGTTC